AAAAAAAACATTTTTCAGCCTATAGTGTACAAGTGAAGGGCCAGTACATAGCAAAATAAATTGGAATTATTCTAACAAGAGTTTTCACTTTACCTTCAGCTACACACTCATAATTAAATCACATGGCTTCACAGCAATTTACAAGATTGATTATCCTACTTTGAACATGACTGTCAATGCCACTAAATATTTTTTCAACAAAACAATAAACTTACTTCTTTTGCAGCTTTAGCTGACCAAGCCCCAGTAACAATATAATCAGCAGATGCTCCTTCTACAAAGAAACAACATTTTTATTTTATTTAACTAAACTACTTCTAATTAGTGAAAAAATAGAAATGTTTTCCTACACAATGCCCAAGACATTTTAACAAAATAATTCCTATTCTTGTGTATGTGATAAAACAACATGGTGGCCACCTGATCACCTACATGTACTGTACATGTATTTCTCAGTTGCCTTCTACTTTAAAGTGCTACTGAAACGAAATTTTCGTATCTGAAATATTTGCTCTAACCTATAGCAGAGCTTTCAATAAGACCCGGCACCCGCCGGCGCTCAGGCAGGTATTTTGTTGTGAGTCGCCGGGTATTTTTCACCGTGCTCAAGTCGCGGTTACCACGCTCAAGTCGCACTCAAGTCGCTCTCCGGCGGGTGCTGTACCGAAGTAGCCACCTAGTTCAAATCTTATTGAGAGCACTGATGTCGCATTTCCACCCATAAGTGCATCATGTTATTTTGAAAGGGAAACTTGGAGGTTTTACCTTTTAACTTCCAGGAGGGATTAAAATGCAACTTCTCTATACTCTATCCATACATTATCCAATAAATGGGATAAAAAAGGGGTTAGGTGTCAATTGGAACGAAAGTTCTGTTCCTTTCTCCTGCCATTCCCGTGGCGAATGAATTAAACTAAACTTAAACTTAAACTAAATGGGTAACGAGGATACTCAAGCTTCTCAAGTGGAAATTGTTATCTTGATCTAGCGTCAAATTCTCGAAACTTTTTTACAAGGATATGAGTAGCAGTCAGAGAGGGGAAGAATTTGGAATTCATAGCTCAGTTTTGCTTTGAATTACTACGGTAGAAGTGATTCCCCTTCCCTTGTAAGAAACTTTCGTCATAACACACGTGTTCCTTTGCCCATTGCAGTCGTTGAAAATGAGACTATTAGCTATGAAGACCTTATCGACAAAGTAACGAAGTTGCAAGAGGAAACGACAGCACTTTTGGCCAAGATAGACCAGAGATTTGGATGTTACTTACAGTGCAGTCCGGACAATCCAAACAACCCATGCTTTGAGGATTGATGACAATCGTGTAAAGTAATTGAAATGCTGTGGTATCGATAGGCCGCTAAATTCTTCCACCAGCCACTGCCAACCTCAAGGACAATTAACCTTTTCCCAGTCCTGTATTAAGAGTTTGTGTAGCTTGTACTGTTATTTGCTGGTTCTCTGCGTCTTTCATGTCGTGTCTTTGTTATGAAAGCGTCACAGTATGCTCTGTAATTTTCTTTAATTTATTTTATTTTTCGTTCTTATTAATCGCTGTGTCTTTTATTCTCGGTTAAAATCGTCTTTTGTAGTGGCATCTATCTTTTTCCTTTCCTTTCTTTCCTTCTCTCTGTCTTCATGTAAATTTTATCGGTAGATGTTTTTGCTTAAACTGAAAAGCTTTTCTGGTTCTTCGTTGTCAGTTTTAGAGAAAGCATCGCTCTTAGAAATTGGATCAAAATTTGATGACAGCCTTTACTCTCCCTAACAGTGGACCTTGGTACTCTGAAATGTTTTCTTTTGTCCTCAAACTGTCATTTGGTTTGATCTTCTTTCCCTTGCTTTACGTTGGTTTTTTTTTTTTTTTATTTTTTATTTTTTATCAAGTCTCAGTTGTTTTGTTTACTTGTTTCTTTATTTATTTTGTTTCAAGTGTGAATTGAGTGGTGAACAAAAGACATGTTACATGGATGTCGGTCACAAGTTTCGAATAAAAAGGCGAACAAAATTATTTCACGTTCGTCAAAACGTGGTAGTCTAAACACGAAGGCGAACGAGGGAAGATTGCCAGCATCGAAAGTTCATTTAAATCTTGTCTTATGTCAAGGAACAAGTCTACTGTTTCCTCTAATTACTGACAACCTTGACTTTCTAGAAAGTAAACTATTCATGGATTCGAGTATCTTTTAAACAGAGGTAATTCGAAGATTTTCCCGAAATGCGCTTTTTACAAGTATGCTTAACAACTTTACGAAATGTTGTATTGCCATCACAATGATAACAATTTTTAAACTGAGAATTATTATATAACTGCCACATTTTTCTCAGAATGTCAAAGTTTCAAAAAAATAAATATGCAGATTTTACGGCTTGCTTCTTTTTTCCTTTATTTTTCCTTTATTTCTTTGGGAGGGGGTAGTTCTTTTCCTAGTTGACTCTGTCATCTATTTGGGGTGTTCGTAGTCTGTTTTGGAGTTTGTTTCATTTTCCCGTTAAAGGTTTACGGAAAGGTACACGCTTTGCTGTTAGGGAAAGTTTCCACGACACTTTAAGGCGTTGAGGAAAAAGAGCGACAACGGACTTTAAATGTATCAAGATGTGTTTTTGGAGAGGAGAAAAGGTGTAATAAAGCTGCGCATGTCTTATGATCTTGAAAGAATGAGAACACTTTTCCCATTAGAACCCTTAGTTTATTTCTTGTTAACCCTACTACAGGTTTTTCTTCTAAGCAAATATTCTAAAACTGGAATCTTCCAGAAGCCTTTGCGAGGACAGTTTGCCATCTTAGACGTACAGGATGTAAACGTCAGCACAGGCTGTTCCTCCGTTGTCTCCCTCGGTATAATTCACCAGATCTTCACCATACCACAGGCGTAGCTCCTGGCCAGAACTCACAGAAATAGGTTTGCCAAACGCCTTCAGCTCAAGGACGGGGCTCATGGAGGTGTAACCTGGAATTCTGTGCCATTTTCCTGGCGCGTGGTGGGTGCTCAGGAACTGGCTAGGGGGCAAAAGATGTTGATTTTTTGCATTGGTTATGACAGTGTTGATCTCCTGGTGCGCTCCAAGGCCACAGCCCCAGGGTGACCAATTTGTTGCAGCATGTCTGTGACAAGACACGTAGCCGTACACGTGGACCAGCTTCACCCCTGCCATTCCACCACTCCGCGGGGCTCTAAACTTTCCCGGTTTTGCACCACTCGCACTAAAACATACGGGAGGTCCATTTGCCCTTCTAAAAAACGCTGAGGAGGAACCAAAAAACAAAAAACATAAAAAAAAAGCCAAAATGTACCAATCACTGTTTTATGAAGGAAGTAGTGATTCTACAATATTGGCCTTTTT